CAGGGGGCCCCTGGTAGTGGATTAGTATTTTTTCCTGGTGTAAGAAGGGATTTTGAGAGCCCATCCCATGTGAAGGGATGCACTCTTGGCCTGGACACATGGGGAAGGGCCTAGGTCCGGCCCAGTATGATGTAGTGGACTTTGGGGAGCCCCCGTGGAGGGCCCTACCCTACCTGGGGAGTGGAGGGTGGATGGGGTCGGGGGTGGGGCGTGGGCGGGGAAGGAGAGGTGGGGTGAGGGGAGGGAGAGGGAGAAGGGTTTGATATGTGAAACAAGCTTGTTCCTAATTTGAACTAATAAAAAAAAATTTTAAAAAAGATATCCTGAAAGACATTCTTCTACACTCAAATATCAGTATCTTGCTCAATCATCATCAAGGAAGCTTCCTCCCACAGTAGATGGAACCATATACAGAGCCCCACAACTGAACAATGTGCAGAGAAAGTGAGAGATCTTAAAACACAAATTCCTAAGTAGTATGTCTTCATCAAATTCCTCCACTCAGGGAACATTGTGGAAGAGGAGGCAAAAAGATTCTAAGAGCCAATGGGAATGGAAGACACCAAGGATACAAAGCCTTCTAGACATAACAGTGCAGAAACACACAGGAACTAGCAGAGACTGTGGCAGTATGTACAAGGCATGCATGGGACTAAGCCACATGGGGTCCCAGCTGAGAGGGGAAGTGGACAAAAGCCCCCATCCCTAACCAAAGCTATCTCCAACTGATCACCACTTGCAAAAGAAAAATTAGTTTTCTCCAACCAGTTCTCAGTATACAAACCACACTGAAGGTCAGGTCCCATGCCCAGCGGTAGATGGCCAACACAAAACAAACTCAGTGGACTTTTTTTTAAGGTTCTTTGACCCAGAAGGCTCTGTCTGTACATTTTGTAATATTGTATGTCTTCTGGTTATATATTATGGTATCATCAGATTTTGTGTTTTTATGGGATTCTCTGTGTACAGATGAGTGAGTCTCTTCTTCTATGTGTGTTTCTTGCACTGTTTTGCTTCTTTTTTGTGTATGTTTGCTTGTTTGGGCAAACTTGTTTTTTTTTAATTGCCTCTTTGTTTTCTAATGAATGAGGACAAGAAAGGGTATGGATTTGGGTGGGTGGAGAGGTGGGGAGGGTATGAAAGGAGTTGGTGGAGAGGAAATGGTGATCAGAATATGTTGCATGAAAAATCTATTTTCAATAACTAAATACAGCATATTGTAAAAATAAAAAAAATCACTAGTGTCAACTCTAGCTTACTGCTCTTGTACAAGACCTGGGATTGATTCCCAAAGACCATGTGGCAGCTCAAACCAGCTGGGACTTCCATCCCAGGAAATCTGAAACACTCCTGGGATCTCTGAGATACTGCTTAGAAATGGTGAACATAAACTCACACAGGCAAACACACATAGAGAAAATAAATTGAGATTAAAAAAGACAAAATTATGATGAAAGATAATTTTATAATAGTAGACAAAATCCATCAGAAAGATATTAACAATTATAAATATAACATTGACCAAAGAACACTGAAACAAAAAACAGACAGCAATTTAGGAACAAACAAATCAACAAAAACTAGATAGAGATATCAGTGTGACACATTTAAAAATAGAGAAAACAAACAGGTACAAAACTGAAAGAGAAATGTAAGATACTAACAAACCTGTAAACATGCTAGATACAACATACATCTATAAAGGCTTTTAAGTATCTCTATGAAGAAACTACAGTTTCCCCCAAATTCACAAGGAATTTTTCCAGGATATATAATTCAGTAGGACAATAAATAAGCCTTGATAAATTTAACAAGATGGAAATCCTCCAAAGTATATTCCCTGACTGTAAAAGAATGTAAAAAAATAAAACAACTGAAAATAATTTAGGGAAAAACTGGAATGGCCTTAAGTAAGGCAATGATACTTTACATACAATATCAAAGAATAATTGATGAGCTGGGTGGTGGTAGTGAATGCCTTTAATCCCAGGCACTTGACCAATCTAGTCAAGAGTGATTAGAATTCTCATTGCTGGTGAGAATGCAAAATGGAACACCAAGTTTGAAAGACAATTTGGCCCAGACTCTTCTAAAACTAAACAATAGCTTGGCATGGTGAACCAAACCCAAAATCCCAGCTTTTGGGAGCCTGATGCAGGAGTATCTTCAATTTGAGGGCAGCCCAGGTTAAATAGTGAGTGCCAGATCAGTCTAGTCTACGTAGTAAGACCCTGTCTGAAAATATTAATAATAATACAATAAGATGAACCTGTCTGAAAATATGAATAATATTAGTAAGATGAACCTGTATGAAAATATTAATATTTTTAAACCACCTAAACATAACAAAACACAGTGATCACCCTTGATATTTCACGACATTAAAAATGTATTACCAGTGCTCATTTTGGTGGCACATATACTAAAGTTGAAATGATTTAGAGAACACTAGCATGGCTGCTGTACAAGAATGACAGGCATTTTTGTGAAACTGTCATATTTTTGCAAAATCCATGCTCTGCATGAATGAATATCTTATAATTACGTCCATTGTTTTGTATACTATTTTTTTAATTAAAAAATTTCTAGGAAACAAAAATGGTCAAAATTGTTAAAATATGTTCACACAAAATCTACACAAAGACGTTTATAGCAGCATTATTCATGAGTGATAAAACTTGGAAGCAACAAAATTTCCTCAATTAGATGAGTAGGCAAATATATAAACGTAGTCCATGGACAAAGAACTGTGGGTAAAAATGATGAGATTTTTAGTCATTGTTCTCTTGATTAGCACTGGTTCTTCACTATCAATTGCTTAGGTGTATATTGAAAAGAGTAAAATGGAATATAAATAAGAATCATTTTTAAAATGACAAGAAATGCAAGCCAGACTATTCTAGCTCCGTGGAAGGGCTAGAACAGCTAGGAAAACCTGCCTGTTAACCGGAAGTAGACCTCTTGAGCAGAACACACCCAGTCTGCTGCCCTAAAAGAGCTATAGGCCACGGGCAATGTAGCCGCAACCAATAGGACCTTTAACAGCAACACCGGAAAGCCGATCGATCATCAGGTCAGCCAATACCTGCCTTTCCCTAAAGGCACTTTTTCAAAGCCCACCAAATCTAAAGACTTTTTCAAATGCCTGCTAGAAATTAGAGAAAAATGCCCCATCTCTCCATGGCAAAGAACAAGACAGCTATTACTAAGCGCTCAGTTAGGAATAGGGAAGACGTGGCCCGCCTTCAGACTAAAAACCACAAGAAACAGGGTCAAGCCAAGCAGGGTCACCAGTACATAGTAATACAGAAAGTAGCCACAGAGGAGCCCAATGAGGTTTCACTAGGCCTTTGAGAGAAAGTCGCAACCCAAGTCGCGACCCGTAGAAATCCACAAATAAACCCGTATGTATCACACCTAGTGACCGTGGCCATGACAACAAGCTTGGCTGTTGCCAGAAACAGCCAGTCTTTGTCTGGCTCAGTGGCCACAGCTATGGGCAAACGTTTGGCTGGCGCGACAAAGAACCAATCTTCTTCTGGCCAGGTGACCACATGCTTGGCCCTTGCCAGAAAGAGCCGATCTTCAGGCCCAATGACCATGGCCATGGCTACATGCTTAACCAATGCCAGAAAAAGCCAGTCTTCATCTGGCCTGATGACCAAAGCCAGGGCCACAGGCTTGGCTATTGGCAAAAAAAGACCTACAACTATAACCACGCAATTGGCCAGTCCCAGAAAAAAAAATCCATCTGGCCCAGTGACCAGAGCTGCAGCCATACGCTCGGCAGTTGCCAACAGTGGTCATTCTTTATCTGACCCGCTGACCACAAACATGGCGATAGGCTCAGCTGTTACCAAAATGAGTCAATCGATGTCTGATCTGGTAACTGCCCCCACTGCCACGCATTTGGTAGCTGCCAAAAAAAGCCACTCTGTCTCTGGCCAAATGATGGCAGCCACGGCTAAGCAGTTGGCTATTACCAGGAAAAGGCAATCTTCATCTTGCCCCAGGACCACATCCTCAACTATTGCTACGACAGGACAATCTCCACCTGTGGATACAAGTAACATGAAACAACCAGTTACAGAAACAACTAACAGGGAGACACCTGTTCCAGAAGAGATGGCCAAGAACAGGCAACTTACTGGCAAGAAATGGCCTGAAAGGCAGCAGCGTTTCAGCCTAAGGCTGACAGAGAGTTCCTCCAGATTCAAAGACATCGTGGTGAGGAAGCAAGAGGGCTTCACCCACATCTTTTTATCTACAAAATCATCAGAAAATAACTCACTAAATCTAGAAGTGATGAACGAAGTTCAGAATGCTCTGAACAAGGCTGCTGAAGACGACAGCAAGCTGGTACTGCTCAGTGCCATTGGCAGTGTCTTCTGTTTTGGCCTGGATTTTAGTTATTTTATACAACATCTCAGAGGGAACAAGAAAAGAGAAAGCACTAAAATGGCGGGATCGATCAAAAATTTTGTGAATACTTTCATTCAGTTTAAGAAGCCTATTATTGCTGCAGTCAATGGCCCAGCCATTGGACTGGGAGCATCTATATTGCCTCTTTGTGATGTGGTTTGGGCTAATGAAAAGGCTTGGTTTCAAACACCCTATACCAACTTTGGACAGAGTCCAGATGGCTGTTCAAGCTTTACATTTCCCAAGATAATGGGAGAAGACTCTGCAAATGAAATGCTAATCGGTGGGCAGAAGCTCACAGCACAGGAAGCTTGTAATAAGGGCCTGGTCTCCCAGGTATTTTGGCCGCAAACCTTCAACCAGGAAGTCATGATTCGAGTCAAGGAGATGGCCTCATGTGATGCAGTTGTCCTGCAAGAGTCGAAAGCCCTACTGCGCTTTAACACCAAGACAGAGTTGGAGAAGGCCAATGAGAAGGAGTGCACAATGCTGAAGGATATTTGGGGCTCTGTAGCAGGGATAGATGCCATGTTAAAATACCTGCAGAACAAAACTGGCTACTGACTGGTTAGACTGTCACCAAAGACTCTGAAACTAACTAGTTTAAGTAGAACATTAGGATAGCAATAGTTCCCAGTTATGAAGACCTACCCTTAACACCTGAAACAAGCTCACCTATATATAGTTCATGCCTAGAAGGAGGACTGGAACATCCAAGCCACCTATTACCAAAGAGTTTTAAAGAACGGTGACTTTAAAATAACTAACTGCAAAGTACTTTTACTCAAACGTCCTTATCTTACATACACATGCAAACAACTATGAGAAGGCAACAATAAACACTTCTTTGGCTAGTACTATATTAAAATGTCTTCTGAGCTGACAAAAATTCTGAAATAATTTTTATTTTCTTCATTTCCTTTCCTTCTGATGTAATATTTGCTTTCTTTACTTATGTTCCTTCCAGAAGAAAGAATCTAAAGAGATATTAGCCGGAATCACATCCCTTTCTGAATAGAGATACATAGAGATCTGAGACATTTGTCTCCAGGAAGAGGTAAAAAATACCCTAAGAGTGGAAAATTTGAAAACAATAAAAAGATAAAAAGCTTTTAGGAAAAATATTTCTGGTGAAAACTTTCAACAAACACGTAGCATTCATGTTGAAATATCAGCTGTTTCTTCCTTTGTTATGTTTGTCCAACTTTTACCCAGTTAACATGAAGAGACCTCTGTAGTATCAGTTCATAACTGAGTAGCATTAAGTATGAACGGCAAAGTTAAAAGTTATGCCTAAAATGTTTTAAATCTTTCAGTTAGTTCTAGTGTGTTTTAAATGTCTCACCCTTTCCAAAATTACCTGCTTCTTGTTGCTTGATGGAAAGAATTCCTTCATAAAAAAGTTTGGTTCGCTATTTACAAATATCATTGGTGTATTGCACCAGAAAAACTTTAAGTTTAGAGAGTATAATTTTAGATTCACTTTGGATATATTTTTTTTAATAAGGGAGAAATTCTTTTTGCACACTATTAGTTACAGTGAAAATATTACTTTATATACAGCTCTGGTTTGTTATATGCAGATAAGATTGGTGTGTTTATAAACTACAATTTTAGTTTCACTTAGAATGAATTTTATTTAATAAGGTAAAATTATTTTGCATAGTATTAATTATAGAATTTTTAAGTACTTTGTATTAGACATTTAATGTTCTCAGTATTAAATATAATATATCTACCTTATACTAAGTACTATACTATGTCTAAGAATTCCCTGCGGAAATACACAGGTCCATTCCTTTCAGAAATAGGAACTGATTCCTAACTACAAAAACTACTGACATTGCAATAATATTGAATGTATGAAAAAAAAAAACAAAACCCAGGCCTCATTTTTTAATGATCCTGAGGTGTATACTTAGAACTCCCTGACCAGCCAGAAAGCTGTACAATATGGAAATCTGACATTACTTTGGATTTACTGGTACCACAACTTAAAAAAATATTTTGAGATTTATTTTATTTCTTTATTTTTACTGTATATAGGTCTTTTAGTAGAATATTATATATGTCTATGCAACACGTGCATGGCTAGTTCAGAAGAAGACATTGGATCCCCTGGAACTGGAGTTGCAGATGGCTGTGAGCTACCATGTGGGTGCTGGGAATCAAACCTGGGTCCTTTGCAAGGGCAAAAAGTACAACATTTTTATTTCTGCAACCTACTTTACTATTCTGGAATTTAAACTATATAAAACTGATGATACTATGAAGTTTTACAGAATAAATATTCAGCTGTGAGAACTGGTTACAAGTAATATCTTCTGCTTGTCTGCTTTGAGTCAGGGTCTCATGTACCCCAGGATGACCTCTAACTCATTATGAGCCCAGAGTGGCCTTCAACTCCTGATCTTCCTGCCCCTACTTCTCCAGTGCTAGCATTACAGGCCTGTGCCACCACCCTCAACATGATAAAATGGTATAAAATGTTACACACCCACTGTACCAATGTTAATTTCCTACCTATAATATACTTAAAATGGTCTTAAGATTACTCCTATAATTGGCTTCAAGAAGCACTGTTTATGTAAATTACATATATTAATACTGAATCAATTTTGGGTGCTTATTAATTTATTTCAAAATATAGCAGTAAAACAATTATATATCACCATTAATATTTTCTTTAGAAAATACAATCTTTATTTTAAGAACCTAAGTTTGGGGTGGGATTGGGAACACTAACTGGGGTCGAGATAGGCTGGGGGTCAGCTCTGGAGGGGAGAACTGGCGACAAGGCTTTATTGGCGTAGATCCCCAAGGATGCCCCGCACGGAGGCCGCACTGCCCAGAATGAAGCCCACACCCAGGGAAACTGGTCGAAGGAGCCTCGCAGATGCTCCACGTGCTGGTTCAGGGTCTCCAGCTGGTCGCGCAGAAGACCCAGTGCTTCAAGGCCTGCAGCAGAGAGGTGTTCAGCGACTGCCACAACCTGCGGGGGGCGCAGGGTCCTGGGGAAGGTTAGGAGGCTCGTTCGGGTCCTCCGTGTCGTACTCGAGGGTTGGTGGCGGGGAGGATCCGAGGGCGGCCCGGCCGGACTCAGGAGCCAGAGTGCCGAGGGCCCTAGGGGTAGAGGAGCTGGTAATGCGGTGGGCATCTGCAGACTTGAAGTAGAGGAACTGTATCTGAGCGCGGAGGCGGGGTCGGCGGCCCCTGCAGTCAGTGGCAGCATAGCCCCTGGCTCGACTGATGTAGGGGCAGGCTTTAACACCACCAGGGTCGTGCGGCCGCGGCGCTGGGGACGTCCAGGGCCCGTAAAGCGACTGCGGACTCGCTGGTGCCCACCGTCGCCCCATGAGCTGGCGGATCTGGTCGTCGTAGGGCCTGGACGGCTGGCCATGGGAGTCTCGGAGTTTGTCCTTGAAGAACTTGTAGTGGCGACGGCATTGGGCAGGCATGCGCCGAACTTGCTGACGGGCCAGCGCGGCCGACACATGGCGGTAGGTGGGCAGAGCCTGCCGGTGGTCCAGCAGTAGTGAGCACCACATGATTGCCTGCAGCAGCGTGCCCAGAAGTAGCTCCATTTCTCGGGCACTACAGGGAGTGCCCTGCGCCGAGCCCGGAGACACGGGAGCCTTAGGCAAGCCAGGCTCTGCCATTGCGCCCGGAGTTGGGGCAAAGGCATCAGATGCAGTCACCTGGACGTCCTCGGACGGCCGCAGCTGGGCATCGGGGCTAGAGAGAGACAGTGGTGAGAACTGGGGCAGCCGCTGGGAAAGAAGCAGCATCCCGGAGCAGGGTGGAAGTGCGTATATTCTGAGACTCTCGCCTCACGGGAGGAGCCCACCATTAATATTTTATGAGTACAAATTTATGTTATAAAATATGAAATACATTAAGAACCAGAATTATTTTATAATTTTGCAAATACGTTTAACATCTGACTTAACAAAAACTGTTAAACTAGACTACCATATCTGCTTGTGCATTCAATCTGTCGAGATACAGATTTTTTTTTTTTTGTAGTTTGCTTTATGGGGTGGGGAGAGTAGAGGATATATGAAATCTTGTCATCACATAAATGTGTAATTGGAAAAGGAAAAGGAGAAAACCTTGCAGATAATTGTGGCAATCTTTTTTTTTTGCTACCACACTTTATTTTGTTGTGATGTTTTAACTCTTCTTTCATATATTACATCCCAATTACATCCCTCCCTTCTCCTACCCAGTCTCTCTCCCACCCAACCCTTCCCTCTTCCCCATATCTACTCCCACCACCACCTCCCCTCAGAAAACAGCAGGTCTCTAAGGGACATCAACCAAACACAGCATAACAAACTACAATAAGACCAGGCACCTATCATCACATCAAAGGCTGGATGAGACAACCTAGTTGGAGGAATAGACTTGCACAAGTAGGCAAAAGAGTCAGAGACAGCCCCCACTCCCACTGTTAGGAATCCCACAAGTATGCAGAGGACCTAGTCCACACCCCTACAGGCTCCTGATCTCTGCCATGATTCTGAGGGCCTTGACCTCATGGTATCCCTGACCCCTTTGGTTCCTCCAATCCTTTCTCCCCCTTCTCTTCAGGACTCCGAAAACTCTGCCTGAAGTTTGACTGTGAGACTCTGCATCTGCTCCCATCAGTTACTGGATGAAGTCTCTCTGGTCTCTGATGAGGATTCTGCTAAGCTCCAGTCCCAGAACACTCTGTAGGTAGGACAAATAGTAGGTGGAAGGTTTTGTGGCTAGGTTGGTGTCCCAAGATGGCTGGTTCAGGCCCCGTGTCCCCAATTTACTAGGAGTCGTTGTAAGGGTTACTCTCATAGAAACCATGGAGTTTCCATTGCACTAGGTTTCTATCTCTCCCCTGAGTTTCCCCCAATTCCAGTAATTTCTCCCAGTATTTTCTCCCTCCCCCACCTGATTCCTACTGTTCTTAACCCCACCTGCCCCCAGGCCACTGGTGAAATCTATTCTATTTCCCCTTCCCAAGGCATCCCCCTTAAGATCTCCTTTGTTACTTGATCTCTTTGGGTCTGTGGATGGTAACATAATTATTTTACTTTTTGGCTAATATTCATTTATCATATTTGTCTTTCTTGTCTGGATTACCTCATTCAGGATTATCTTTTTTCTAGCTCCATCCATTTGCCTGCAAATTTAGTAACATCATTGTTGTTAACAGCTGGGTATTAGTCCATTGTATAAATGTACCACATTTTCCTTATCCATTCTTCATTGTTCAACATCTAGGTTGTTTCTGGCTAGTGGCTATTACAAATATAGCTGCAATGCACATAGTTGAGCAAGTGTCTTTGTGGTATGATACAGCATCCCTTGGATATATGCCCAAGAATTGTATATCTGGGTCTTGAGGTAGATCAAATCCTAATTTTCTAAGAAACCACCATTATTGTCTTCCAAAGTGGCTGTACAAGTTTGCACTTCCAACAGCAATGGAGGAGTGTTTCTCTGTATCTCTCTGTCACTCTCTGTCTCTCTCTATCTGTGTCTCTGTCTGTGTCTCTGTCTCTTTGTCTCTCTCTCTGTCTCTCTCT